TTGCTGTTTGGTTGGTTATTGTCTTTTTGGTACTGGGGATTGAACCTAGGGGCACTCAACCACTGAGCCACATCCCTAGCCCTATTTTGTATTTTATTTAGAGACAAGGTCTCACTGAATTGCTTAGCACCTCATTGTTGCTGAGGCTCGCTTTGAACTCATGATCCTCCTGCCTCAGCCTCCCGAGCCACTGGGATTATAGGCATGGGCCACCATGCCCGGACCACCTCTGCTTTTATTGCAGCCCAATTCCAGGATGGATTTCCCAAAGGACCACTCAGATTTGGCGAGAGCTGCTTAAAATGCAGAATGCCTTCTTTCAGAATAGGTCTTTAATTTCTACTCTAATGAGCCAGACACTGCATCCCTCTCATCCCACCCCCTCACATGCAAATCGAAATCTCCATGTGAAGTGGGGAGCGGTAGGCACGCATTAGCCCATCCGGTGTAAAGCCTCTGATTGAGACCAATTACTTAACCCAGCCCCACTTCATTTCCAGTGGAAAACCCACCACTAATGTCTGCTGGCTGCAGCCAGGGACTGATGAGGCAATCAGGAGGAAAACAGACATAATAGCCAGGTAATCTTACAAAGGTTGAGAGAGGAGGGTGGGGAAGGCATTGGGCAAGAGATACCTACTAGTGTGTGCAGCCTTGCGGGGTACTGTGCTGGATGTCTTGCAGGCCTCTTCAGTAAGGGAGCAGAATGTCTTTGCCCAGCCAGCACACACACCCCTCCAACCAACCCACAAAACGGTATGCTCAGCCACTGTGCCAGTGTCAACTGTAAGCTGCTGGGAGGAACATTATGTCTGCTATGGCCATTATGAGATTCCGTGTCCAAGTTCAAATTACTCCTTTGAGTTACTCCCAAAGTTTTAAAACTTTGAGATGCCGTAATGATAACTGGAATCTGACAGAGATGGGAAAGGGGGCCTTCTACCACTTTGTTCCCAACACAAAGCTGCAATCGTTCTGTCAGCTCCTGCTGATAGCATGCATCCTCCAGGGGACTGGAGTCAGTGGAAGGTGTTTGGGTGTGGACGTCCCATTCCATTTTCCTCCAGTTGACTCTTGGTCCTTCCTACCACTTCTCTTTCTCAGTACTTAAATGAAGGCTCCTAGGCATGTAAATGAAGAAGTGTAGAAACAGAAAAGAGGGAGAACTGTTTCAATAAAACAGATGTAGCTGTGCCCAGCTGTGAATAGATTTCCCCCTTTAGTGTGTAATCTTATCCTGTTTGGTATTGTGTTATTTTATCCATTTTACAGATGAAGAAGCTAAGGTGAGGAGACTGGTTAGTGGTATTTTCTGACTTAAAACTGTGTTCTTTTCACTCTGCCTTTTTTTTTTAAAATTTTTATTT